TCTTCGCCTCTCCTTTTCTTTCCTATCCCCTTTCATCCCTCCTATCCTCTTCGCCTCTCCTTTTCTTTCCTCTTCGTCCTTTTTCTCCTTCTAGTCCGCTTAGCCTGTATATCCGAGCAACTGTGGTACAAAGCTCCGCATTTTCAAGAAAGGCGAAATGCCATGAAGAGACCAAGTTGACCCTTATGATAATGCCGGAGACTTTCCAGCTGTTGAGAAAGTTGATGATGGAAAATTTTCTGTCTTCAGAGTTGATGAAAGGAAATCTAATTGCGCTGAACTTGCCAAAAAGAAAATATTCCTAAAAGGCAGTGAGAAAGGAAACCACCTCCAGCTGCAGACGAGAAAGACTTGAAGCGTCGAAGCCAAGTTTGGGGCAGCGGCCACGACGGCGGCAGCAGCGGAGGCAGAGGCGGCAGCAGGGGCGGCAGAGGCTTCAGCGCTTGTCCCCTTCTGTCTCACACGCCCCGGGCAATGTGGTGCTGATCCCCGCCTCAACACTAATTAAGCTTTTATCTTTGCCAATAAGTATGTCGCCCCACGGTTGAATTTCAGAAACTTTTCTCATTTCAACCTGACGAAATACCGCCTCTCCTGCTCACCCCTCCCCGCCAAACGCCTCTAAGGGAAGAAGGGCGACTGCCAATGTCGGAGTGCGCAACAATTGAAAATTAGGAACTTTCGACACTGAAAACGTGAGTCATTTACACCTCAAAGACATTTACTGATTGAGCTGAGGTGTTGCCTGGCATTAGCGAGTCATCGACTCAAAAAAAGTTTCTGGTAACTGTCTGGGCGGAATTCAGCCTTGCTCAACATTTCTGTGCTTTGGAATTGATGAATACTTTCGCATTGTTCGCAGACATGTAACAAATATACAGCGAAAGGCCAGAAACACACACTTTACTTATATATGTAATTATATACATGCACATATAAATACATATAAACACACACACACACACAGAACCACACACACACACATATATGTATATGTACTTTAAATAATCATACAAATGGATTGCATTCTAATGTGGTTCCAAAATGCTCTCGTTCATTTAGCCGACACAGTACAGACCGACGCGTCCACGAAAGGGCTAGAGGAATTCCCGTGCTTGCCTTCCCGCATAATCTTGGCCGCCATTTTCCCCTCGTGCACTCACCCCCCCCCCCCCCCCCGCCGAACCTCAAACAAATCCGAATAATCACTCAGTAAATGACAAGGCCATTAACAAGGGCTGTCGTTATCCCGGGCACAGGTCCTTATCCCCTCGTGCCATAACGGAGGCGATTACAAATTAAGGAATTGATGCCCTTGATTGCAGCACGAGTTGCGAGATCCCGTTGGGGGGGGGGGGGGGGAGGGTTGGGGAATTCGAGAAGGGTTGAGAGGGGTTAGAGAAGGGTTCGAAGGGGGGGAGGGGGGAAGAGGCAAGGGGGCAATTCAACTATGCCCATGAATTTCCCAAAGGCTCATTTTCCCCTAGCGCAAGCTAAGATTTTGATACTTATGGCCAGTGATCGACAGGGAATGGCACCTTTTTCAACCTGGCGGCATGAATATGTATTTACTTGTTATGCAAAGCCCCCATTGATTATCCATCATAAAATGAGTGCACAATTAAAAACAGCTTATGGCGAAGCTACAAGACTCGTTAATTTTGAATCATCTTTTCAATATCATTTTAAAAGAAGAAGAAAACGAGGGAAGGAGACTTGGCAGGAGGAGGAAAAATATATCGTGTATGTTTTTTCTCTCTCTTCTCTCTTATTCTCTCTTTCCCCCATTGCCTCTCCTTCTTGCCCTTTTTCTGTCTATTTCTTTCCTTTCTCTCTTTTCAACCCAACCCTTCCTCTCTTCCTATCATCTACATAATCTTTCCATCTCTCTCACTTGTCTATTTGACTTTCTCTCTCTTTATTACTATCTCTGTGCATTTCACTTTAATTTCTGCCTCTATGTCTCCCTTTATTTTTCTTACTTTCTCGGATAACCCTTACTAACTATGAACTCAGCTACAAAGCCAGCGCACTCAAAGTTCCACGCAGATTCTGGGAACAGCGGAGGGAGCATTGCACCCTGTCTATGATGGCAGTGATTGCGGCAGGTAATCGCGCCACTACGAGCAGGCGCCAGGTGATAGCGGGTGGCAGGGCGGCTGAGGTGGCAGGGGAAGCAGGGGTGACAGAGGGGGCAGGGGAAGCAGGGGTGAGAGAGGTGGCAGGGGAAGCAGGGGTGAGAGAGGTGGCAGGGGAAGCAGGGGTGAGAGAGGTGGCAAGGGAAGCAGGGGTGACAGAGGTGGCAGGGGCAGTAGAGATAGTAGTGGCGGCAGAGGTGGCAATGGTTACAGAGGGCAGTAGAGGCTATATATTGGCAACAGAGGTGGAAAGGTTAGCAAGAGTGGCAGTAGCGACCGAAGTATCACGGGCAGTAGATTCGACAAAAGCTAAACGGGAAATAACCTACTGAACGAGACACAAATAAAATGCATGGCCTATT